TGAAACTTGAAGCCACCAGTGCACATACACTGAGAATGGACTTTACAGTGAAGGAGGAGACATCTTGTGTCCAGCAGGAAAACTTTAGAAATGAACAACATTTGTATGTTCAGATATTCTGGAATTTTGCCTTGTTAAGGTGTGTGTGAAAATATACTTTTTTGTAGAAAAAACATATCAGATGCACATTATTGTTCCAAGCAGACTAACATGGAATATGGAAACTCATTTCTGCCAATGTGACAGGGGAAACTTTCTCAAAATATTGACTTAGTATGTGAAAAAAATGAGACAATTTCTCAATAGTTTGATTTAGTATCTCAAAATGAAGTCATTTTGAGTTTATTTTGAGTTTCTCATTATAATGATTTACAGAATCCCTTTTTTTCACACTGGTGGAAATGGGCTTCCATAGAGGAATATATGCTTCACCAAGTATCATTGGTTACATTGCACATGGATAGATAACCCTGTAATAACTATAAGTCATTGTTTTACCTGTTTTACAGTATGTGGTCTGATTACAGTACATCATTGGTGAAGATTTCATCTGTGACCTTTTATGGACCTCTGCTGGCAACAAGCAGAAACTGCAACAGCACCATCAGCTCAGAGTGGAGAACTGGGAACTACAATACAGTGGTAATTATGAGAACATATAGAGTATAGGTTTGCTTGGATTTGTAGATGATGGGGTTAAAGGCATATTCCAGTAATTTAGTGTGACACTTTTGTTAAGTGTGTGAGCAAGGCAATTTGTTTTTATAGAGCACTATTTGGCAAACTCAATGTGCAGTTCAGTGCATGTACAAGCACCCACCCAAAGACAGTAGGGAAACCACAGACATAAACTGTACAAAGGCAAGTGTGCAAAGAGGGGAGGGTGAAGCAAGTGAGCTAAATCCTACACATGGGATCCTTAATTGAAGGGTAAAATACAGGAGTTATACTTGTAGGGCAGTTTACATTACATTTAATCAGAACTTTTAATGGATTTGAATACTTCCTCCACCAGTTGCTGTTAGTTGTCGCAGATCTCCTGCGTGGATTTAGTTAGTCTGGACCATGCATGAAAATTTGATTTGAGAAGCTGACTGCACATTTATAGGCATCACATTTATTAAGTTGTACTGATGCATGCATTTGCTTATTAATTGCAAACATCCTGCTGACTGCCTATGAGATCAACATGCAGGTCATACAAACAAAGAGTAGTTTGTCATTTATTTGTAAAAATGATTGATTGCAGCTATTTTCAAAACCATAGAAAATAAATAAATAAATAACAAAAACTCTAACTACTGTGGAATATGATGATTTTATTAATCCCATAAATATTAACCAGCAACCTACATTCGCGGGAAATATCAGATTAGGTGTGGCACATTTTTCCACTGAGAGGGGTGCCCGCGTTATTAAATGGTTTTGTCTGTACAAAAAATGCTCTATAGTTTATCAATATTTTTTAAACTTTTTATTCTACATGATATCCACTTGATATATTTATTCTGATGTTCGTATTTACTCTTGAAATACTGCAGTATTTACACTACAATCCTACACCCCCCTGCTTTAAAAGCACTACTTTCATCGTCCTAACTGGCGCGAAATGAATAGCCCCGCCCATAGTAAAACCCATACGCAAATTAGCCGAAAATGGCGGATGTAAAGTGATATTGGCTTCACAATAAAACACAACCCCGACCTCTCAAGCCAGCTCTGCCGCGTAACGTTCGGGGAAGACATTTTACTTTGAAAGGTATCGTGTGGACATACGTTGCTTGTTTCTAGGAGCTTACCGTGTTGTAGGACACACACTGTGTTCACTGCAGAGGATCAACGTGGACTTCAAACTAGTCATGTTCTACATATTTGCACAGTTTTAGATAAGCAATATTCTCGGAATTTATTTCTATATCTGCGGTCCTGCACACCTGGAGACGCCATTATAGACAGTAGCTAGCTAGATTGACCAGTTAGCTCACTTATATGACTGCTCGCCAGTAAGCTGCTTGTGTAAGTCGCAAAAAAGTTGCTGCTTTGTCGAGCAAAAAAGACCTTTTTCTCGTTAACTTTAAAATCTGGAATTAGCCACGTTAGCCCTGTCGTCTGCTTCGTTTTTGGCAACAATGAGCTGGTGAGTTAAATAATATTGTCTTTAATTTCCTTGAGATATAAAGTATATGTCTTTGTAACAACGTGCTGTGATTCTCGAGTATTACTCAACTATCTGTTCAAGAAGAGAGCATTGAGGATATGCATGACGGGTTAATGGTCTTATTTTCATGTTTATATGGCATTATTGCAAGAATGTGAAAGTCTAGCGGGGAAAACCGAATGTATTCTTTGACACTGAAAGTTGTCACAGTTAAAGCTGCAGTAGGTAACCCTTTATTATATTCGCTGAAACGTTCACTGTACCCTGACAGACAGATACTCTGTGAAACATTCAGGTTCTTCTGGCAGATTGTTTCACAGATTATCTAACTCATGTCCTACTGTCAGGATATAGTGATATAGTTTCTACAATTATGGCAAAAAAAATGTTTTATAAAAGTCACCTACTGCAGTTTTAAATATACTGTGTCTATAACGTTGGATATTAAACACCCACCGTGTCACATACAGATCGTACAGGTCGTGTACTTGCTAATAGAGTGCTACACAAAAAGAGTTTGAACATGTGAATGTAGTTAGTCCTGGTTCTTTTGAAGCCAGAGTCCCCGTCCCCCCCCCCTGCAGTTGATTTATGTTCTTCCTTCCGTTGACAGCGCAAAGGAAGAGACTCGGAGTGCGTCCCCTCACTGCCCCAAACCGGATGAATCCGAGGAGCCGCTGGGCACAGCCATGGAGACTGGAGCTGCAGAGGGTCAGTCACACAGGAGCCTAATCTGTGGCCCCAAACTCACTTGCTGAGGGATTTTCTGAGCTAATCCGCGTTTGATTAATGAAGCATTGCTTTCATGTCATTTAAGGTTGAGATAATGAGGGATGTATGTAGTTTATCACCTACATTATTAACAGCTGGCTATCTAATTAAGGCTGATCAACTTTTAAAACAAGCTATGAAACTGTTTCTGTTAGCAAAAATGAATGAATGCAGGGATGTGAATGACCCAGCTCGACTATCACTGTTGTTTCTTTGAAGATGTCGGTGTGAAATCTGAGAATATGAAGTCTGAAGTGCTCATCACTAAGGAAATGGAGGAGGAAGAGAAGCAGCTGATGGAGGAAGGGGAGAGGAAAGAAAAGGAGATGATGGAAAAGGTCTGTTATTCCCCCATTTTTCTTTTCCAAAAACTGTATTTATAGAACTGGATCATGTTTAGGGCTGGGAATTGAATGTTTAGACAACATTTGACAACTTTAGCTTCCTTTGTTAAATAAAAAAGGGTTTAGGTAGTACAACATATTCCTCAAAATGTCATTTTGGTGTAAGTACAAAAATGGTACATGTATGGTATAGGCCAGAGGTTGCGTTAGACTTTCTTGTTGGTCATCATTTTGACCTACAGGCTTATAAAAAATGTTTTAAATGTATTAAATTATCCATCTTTTTAAAAAAATAATGATGATGAGACATACAGCCTATTAAATAGAATTAAAAACGAATCTTGTCCGGTCTGTCATTAACGTCTGGTTATTTTTGCCACAAGGCCCGGGAATCATTGGAGAGGGATTCCCATGACATGCGGTTCAAGAGGCTGCAGCATCTGCTTCAGAAGAGCAACATCTACTCTAAGTTCCTGCTGACTAAAATGGAGCAACAGCAGAATGAGGTGAGAACATGTGTGAAGCACTAACTACCTGTCCTGCCTTCGCACCGACAGGCTGAATCACTACTAACGCTCTTTCTTTCAACGATTCCAGGAGAAACTCAGGAAGGAGAAACTTGAAAAGAAGGTCAAGAAGGTGAGGAGGAGAGATTTACTGAAAAACATTTTAGCTTTGCGTTAAAGTATCTCATATTTCCTATTCATAGAAGTATATTTGTCTTTTAGATGCCGAACACAACTACTGCAGAGCCTGAGAAAGGTGAGTAGATCTGATATTTAGATTATTTGTTCAATAAAAGTTAATCTTCCAATAAATACTGACATTACAAACAGTTTAATGCTAAGTAATATTATGTACAGCGCATGCAGGGTCTTTAAAACTCTAAAATCCAATAATTTTAGGCCATACAATGTCTTAAATAGGATTTTGACAGGTTTTAAAAAATTATTGTTAATAAAGTTAATGTTACTTGTATAAAGTTGCATTTTCACTCTCTTTTTAAATGTGTCTTGGGGAAGAATTATTATTGATCAACATGTAACAGCTACAAAATCAAACCAAAATGGAACCAGTACAGATTTTCTTTCATATCCTTTGTACTTTTTTTTACATTGGCAGTATGGATGTACAATAGTTCTTAAATTGCATGCATAAAGGTCTTAAAAAGTTGAAGCCTGAAACCCTGGTTCTGTAAGTTTCAAATCCAAATGTGTGTAACAAGTGTTTGACTCTATTCTCTGTCGAACTAGATAAAAAGAAGAGAAGGAGGGATGAGGACTACAAAATAGCAGATGTCATGTCAAAAGAAGTAAGGTCTTATTTGACTTTTGTCTGTTTTTGCAGATTGTCAGATTCTCTGCTCACACTGGTTCTGCTTGATTTTGTCTTCCAGGAAATTATGTCGCAAGCTAAGAAAGCTAAAGTGGAGGAAGCGGTAATGGTTCATTTTATTTTGACATGTTAATAATTTAGAAGGGATAATGGGGGACACTATGGGGTAGATTTTAAATAGGATAAAGATAAGTAGCCATTAGTCATTGAATGCAACACATCCAACCAAACATGTGCATATCAAACACTTGCTATCAGGACGAGGCACCGACCCAGAAGAAGCTTGAAGCTGAGGACATCGAGAAGATGAGTGATTCCAACGAAGACATCAAGAACCGCCTGTCGGAGACGGTGCGGGACAACGCCAAGCATCTCCTGCATCCAAGCAGGAAGGTGAACGGCCAGCCAATCCCCGCCCAGCAGCCGCAGCACTTCACTGGAGGGGTCATGAGGTGGTACCAGATTGAAGGCATCGAGTGGCTGAGGGTCAGTAAGGCTTGACCAGCAGTGATTATTTGTTTGTTCGATTCCCTACCTCCCTGTGCCATGTAGACAATGTTTTAGTCAAGTTACCGGTAGTTTGTTTTAAAAAGCAAAAAAAACAAATAAAGTTGAGTTTCGAAGTTAATTTTGACCTTGGAAACAGTAGTTGATGAAACAGTCTCACCTCCGGGTCCCTTAGTAGCTGTTCTCAAGCTTTTTTCACTTGTAATGGTGTTGTAGATGTCCAACTTTCCATTTTTCCTGAGCTCTTTAAGGACGTCCATGTTGGCACAAAGGTGGAGTTTCAAGTTCAGTAAAGTTTGGCAGACAGCCAGGCCACATACAGTATATCCCACGATGTCTCTCACTGTGCATTTCGTTGAACAAGATCTGTCTGCAGTAAAAAGCAGTTTAGGCATATCTAAACTAAATATAATGAACTTTTCAACCAGAGGTCAAATGTTTTATTTTTAGTTTTATTTATTTGTTATTCTAGAATTCTGTTTGTCACACATTTCTTAGCTTTATCAAGTAATTGTAGTTTCTGCAGTTTGAACATTGTATTTTGCCATAATGAATTTTTATTAATTATGAAGCCCCATGGAAAAACTTGGTTTGTAAACTTTGGTCTGTTTGACTCATTCTCCTTCACGACAGCTAATCTAAAAGTCCCGTTTCCAAGTGTCATCTCAAGAAAAGCAGCAGCAGTTTTATCACATTTGCTCGTAGACCGCCACACTCTGACTACTGCACCTCGAATATGTGTCTCTGTATGGTGTGTGTGCTATGGGCACCAAATGCGTGACTGCTTTCAATTCAATCACTTCCTTATTGAATACACACTGTATCAGTCTCCACCAGTAGAAGCCACTGAAGGCCTGGTGTTCAGTGCGCCCTGAGTGTAAAGCAGCAGCCTGTCTTCCCTCTGTGCTCTCAGATGCTGTGGGAGAACGGCATCAACGGGATCCTCGCTGATGAGATGGGACTGGGAAAGACCATCCAGTGCATTGCTCACGTTGCCATGATGATAGAAAAGAAAGTGATGGGCCCCTTCCTGGTGGTGGCCCCTCTCTCCACTCTGCCCAACTGGATCAACGAATTCAAGCGCTTCACACCAGAGGTAGGAAAGTTGTGTTTGTCCGACTGGACGCTGAAACTCGTCCAACTGACCAGTGAAGACCACAGTAATGAAACAGCATTAGGCAGCTAGGTTTCACTGCTGATTGGACAGGATTGTATTGTGTAGAATAGCCTCACATCACATTCAGATGATTTCATTGATTCAAACTTTGATGAGAAAATGACAAATACAAACCTCAATAACTAGCTGTGCTCTGAGTGCTCAATATCATCCAACTGCAGCCA